GAACAAAATGGAAACAGCAAGTTGGTAGCACTGGCACCACAATACAGTAACTGATATTGGAAGCAGATTTCATCAAGAAAGAGAGAAGCTTAAAACTTTTGCAGTTCTGACTTTTCCTAGATGCATGCATGACATTGCACGAAACTGACACAAGAAAGAAGAGGCCATGGACCATGGAGCATGCATGCAGAGCATACACGGCTGGCAAATGACGTTGCCAGCTGATGAATGCCACCCTAGCTAGCAATGCTATGCTGACTCATCATTCAGGTCAAGAGAGAGAGAGAGAGAGATTAATTAGAGTTAATTAATCAGTAGTCCTACCTGGCAACGCCTCTGTACTTGGAGACACCCCTGGAGAAACCGCTGCTCCGGCGGCGGAGGGAGGCCAGGTACTCCTCCCTCGACACACCCTCCATCTCCGACCTCTCCTTCTCATATTCCTCCAGCTGCAATAATTCGCATTATCTTCAGTAATAATTCAGATTACACAAGTCGCAATTGTCTAGTGGTAAGTTGGCAAACTTACTGGGAAATTGAGCACTGTCTCAGGACCCCAGTACTTAAGAGCTGCAAGGTCATATGCACGAGCAGCTGCCTCTTCACTATCATAAGCCCCTAAACATCATTAAACATTGCACTAATGTTCAGAAACAGACCAAACACCAAAACATTAAGTAGTTATGTAACAACTAGTTGCTATATGCCTATATTCTTAGGGATAAACTGTTTTCATATTGAGACAAACCAAGGATGTGACAGATCAAACAAAGGAAATCTAAGATTATACAAGAACAGGAAGCAACATGCAGCATGAATCTGACAAAACAGGTGTGTATAGACAACTAGCTTGTGGGACTTACCCAAATAGACTAATGAGAGGAGCATCAAGCAGCAGCAGATCAAGGTCACATGCGCATCACAAGGGCAAGGTCCCCCAAAGATAACAGCAAAAAAGAAAGGAGATAAAAAAAGCTTAATCAGAATGTCAGCCTTAAAAAATTCGCTCCACTTTATAGTAATAAGCTTTGTACTAATGGCCGATGTATCAAGATCCTTGGCAGTATACAGAAGTACACCAAGGACCTTGTATGTTTCCCTTTTTCTTTCATTATAGTACATTATACTGTAAAAATACTCGTATTTAACTTTCTTTAGTATTTTCAGAGAAAATTCAGGTTAAAAATCCTTAAAAAAAATCAGGCAACTAATGCATGTTGCGATCAATGTACCTTGCCTCCCTTTCTTCTTGTTCTGAAGTGAAGTGGAGCAATTCTTGTCCCACAGATGGGCCTCAAATCTGCCAGTCCACCGATGCCTGTTTATACATACAGATACATGCATGCAACAAATGATTCCACCGTATATTGAATTTATTGATGATTGATAAATAAGCAGCATTAAGCATTAGTGTTTGCTTTACAGGAGGAAGAAAAACTGAAGGAGTTGACCACCCCAGCAGTAAATGTAGACCAACCAACTCCCTACTTCCCAGCTAATAATAATTGACTCACTCCAAGGGGAGGAGCAGCAAGAAAAAAAGATTAAAAATGGGAATTATGAGATCAAGAAATGGATCCGATCGATCATGCTCGCCAACCTCCAAAAGATGAGGCATGAAAAGGGGAGCAGACTCACCACCCAGAAAACGATAAAAATAATTCATGATCTCTGACATGCAAGTGAAATGTTCAGAAACAGATTGGAAAGAAGCGGCTGATAATTTCGGGAGCCTGAAATGATGGAAACGATGCGGAATTTTGGGCTGAAAATCAGCCATTGATTAGCTAGCGGCAATGCAGGATGAATTCGCGACTGAAATCAAGAGGGGATCAGAAAGAACAGCAGAACTGGGATCAGAGGGATGGAAGCAACTGACCATGCAGAGACGCATACCTGGTGACTCCCCTGTAGATAGAACTCCTCTTGCCGCCGCCGCCGCCGCCACCGCCATTGGAAGAAGGATCAACCACCTCCTTGCTCTCCTTCTTGGGCCTCTTGGCCTTGCCGGTGCTCTTGTCCGTCCTCGGCCTCGCCCTCCTCTTGCAGGGCATCGACATGGGCGAAGAGGAATCCTCGGAGGAAGAGGAGGAAGGAGACGACGGCGAGGATGATGCAGATGGAGAAGATGATGCGGGATCAGGAGACGATCTCTTCGCCATGATCTCTCGCGTTGGTGCAGGTGCAGGTGAGGTGACGAGGAGGAGGAGAGGCAACGAAGTGGAGCCCCGGAGGTTTTGTAATTTATAGCGGAGGGGGGAACGAAAGTAAGTGCAGTGCAGAGATGGGTTTTTTGGGTTGCTAATCACCATCATCAGCATTAACTGAAGATGACACCTCTGTTTTTTTTGTATTTTTGTGCGTCAGGGCCTCAAGCTGGCCACCATACGACTCTACGAGAATAGGAGTCAATTTTGATACACTTATTCATTATTCTTTTATTTTATTTCAGAGATTTCCTCTGTTTTTAATATATTATTATTATTGATATAAGTGTGCATTGCATTGTGCACAAGTAGTGGTCGTATTCAGATTTCTTTTTCTTTCTTTATTTTTGCAGATTTCGGTACACGTGCAGACGCTCATATACACACGTGTATACTCACCTTCTATAAATACATACGCTATCTCTATGAACACCTTTAAAGATTAGGCAAGGAGATTGTCGTTTCTGAATTGACATAATTTACATGGGAAGTACACCGATAATAATATCTTGAGATTTGCGAAGATACAGACCAAATTTACATAGCATGGCAGATGACGCACTGGCAAATTAACTCAAGATGACACCTTGTTTTTTGTATTTTTGCGCGTCAGGGCTCTGCTGGACACCGAAGATTAGCAATCAATTTTGCTGCACTTATTTTAATTTGTTTCTTTTTGAGAGATTTCCTCTGTTTTAATTATATTATTAATGAGTATGAAAGGTACAAACCTGAGATAGTTTCTGGAAGGACACAATTTCCACGGAGACTACACCGAGTCACTGGCAATATTTGCGATGTTGAACTGCCATTTGCCCAAGCTACACTTCATTTTTACATAGCAGGGTACACTAGGAAGTAAACAAGCTCATAAATGACTGCAAATTAAACGTTACTGGAGATGATTTTTTTTTGTCTATATTGAACCGTAAGTCTTACTGCAAGAGCTTTCACCTCTGATTCAGATCAGTGACAGACTTGCAGTGAGTTAATTCTACAGAAAGAGGACAAAGCAACTTAAACTAAAAATGGACGGACGGACGGACGCCGCTGGGTCAGGGTCCTTAGACTGAAGAAACAAACGAAGGTGCATAGCATAGCAGCTACACAAGGAGACGAATAGCATCGGGACGTGAAAAAGAAACAACACATGTAACATGTAACACTGAAAAATCAAAGACATTAGTGCCATGTGTCCAAATGGCAGAGCTCTGCAGCCATGCAAAATATGCAATTCCTCATTCAGAGGAAAGCATCCTACTAGCCATGCAACCACAACACCTGTCCCCAACATTCAGAGCAACCTACTGTGTCTGTGTGCAGTCAGTCAATTACTGTACACAACAAGCATCTACTGTAGCTCCGATGCAACGACCCCCTTTCGATGAAGAATCATCAAACAAACAGTGCATCCTTCAATTAGAAAATTCAGCAATTACTCATGCTGTATTACTGGAGTACTACAGATCATGTGAAACATGTGTGTTGTGTTGTACCGTGGATGACGGTTTGATGGCTGACCGTGATGACCTCAATATTTGAGTAAATTAGTCATCCCAATTAAGCTCCCATGCCTGACTGCCAAATTATTTGTTTTGTAGTAGATCATACTCACCAAAATGGTTTATCACGAGTCTGTTTTCTGACCACATTTTTGTCTAGACAGTCTGCTGCAGTTGCCCAGATGATTAGTAACCTGACTCCTGACTGACTGTCGATATTAGACCGACTGACGTCTTGTGTCACCACCATGATGTCCGTCCAGCTTGTTCACATTCATCAGCAGGGTAAGACATGCAATCACAACAACTAACACTAGGTTTATGTAGTATAGGGTGGTCCATGATGCAGAAATATGAATATTCTCAACTCTAAATTCTAAAAAAAAAAAAAGAGAGACATGTTTCTTGTAGTACAGGCAGTACGGTACGGTGAATGTTTGGTTTGGTTGTTAAACACGTTTCTCATCTACTTTGCCTGCATTTGAGGTGCTAGAGTGAAGATAAATCTTAGGTTGCCAGATTATTCAAATATTCAATCAAGATAAAAGAAATTCCAAGCTTTTCCATCTAACATCTCCCTCATTAGACCAGAAACATGCTTGCTTGCAAGCTACCTGACAATGCAACCGTCCACGGACTGATTGCATATCGTACAAAAATTTCTGTAACACAAAACAGCACTAGTCAAACCTGAAGCTTTCATGGAACCAAACCATCTCTAGAATGAGCTTGCACTCCAATTTGTTATAATATCCAATAAAGCACACACTCTCTCCTGGTATTACTGTAGTAATGATCAAATTTCAATGTTCAGAAGAAACACCATTAAATCATGAATTGGATTTAAAACATGTGTCCTTCCATGTAACATAGTCCTACAGAGACAGCTGCCAACAGCAGTCGATGCAAACTTCTGGTTTTCATTTGGTATAACTTAAAAAGGATGAAATGTGCAAAGATATTGCAAATAGAAATGGATGTTGTAGAATCAAATGCGAACTGTTTCAGAGCTATCCACAAGAATAGATATAATATTTCTTTATAGTACTAACAGATTATTCCCAAGTAACAAAACAGCATGCAGATCACATGAGAGCAATGCAATGACGAAAAAATCATTAGTAGAGATAATCCTATGGATATATATACAATAGAGCACTACTAATTGCACGTTCCATTTCCACCACTGCGCACTACTTGATTTTTTTTTCTTTCAGGATCTTCTAATGTTACAAATAATTATTCCCAGGTTAAAAAGAAAATAGCATGCAGATCACATGATATCAGTCGATGACCAAAAAAATCACAATTAGTAGATAGAATCATATGAACATGTATACATCTCTAGTAGTACTAATTGCACGTTGCTAATATGAATATCAGTCCTCCCACCATAGCGCACTAGTTGATGTTTTCTCACTATCTTCTAATATTACAAATAAGGAGACCCCCAAAATTTACCCTGTTCTTAAATGTCACAATATCCATAAGTAAGTCTGCATTCATTTTCTGAAATACATAGTCATCATCACAATAACTTGACCTTATCTCTCTTAGATCTTTACTGATTCCCCTTCCAAAACTTCTTAAATATTGTTGAACGTCGTCGCCCTCAACAGTTTTTGTTGGTTCATGGGTGAAGGAGAAACAAGAACTTCTGCTTTTTGGTGTGTCAAAGCCATCGAGATCATCACTTGAGTTATTTGTAGTTCTTGAAACGGGGGTCATCATATTATGACTAAAAGTACGGCCTCCAGACACATCAGATCCAGTTAAGCTAACTGAGCACTGGGTTTGGTTGTCAGATTCCTGGGAGGGCAAGAAGTACTTGTTATAGTGTGAGAATGATCGTTACTATCCACAAAATAGACCTACTTTTCATTCTACTAAAATGCTGCTGGGAAATCAACAAGAATATGTAATATGACTCGAAACAACACATTAAGTACAACGTAGACAATTCAGGAATATTTGAGTGGATAACAATAGGAATATGAAAATAGCTGCAATATGCCAATTAACAGAGAGTAAAGACTGTACTATTTCTGAACCACATAATAAAAAAATAAATGTTTAAAAGAATGATGGAGGCTGTTGGGTACTTGGGTTGATATTCCTAAAAAGTACTACAAATCTCAAAGCCTCAGTGAAGTGAAACAGCATTGATTTGCTAACCTCATTATGCCAATGACGATCTGTTGGATAGTGGATTTCTGCAATGCTTGATCCACCTTTGTTAAAAGATGTATTTCTGCTCTTTTGTGGGATGTTCACAACTGAATTTATTTGAGGGTCCTCCAGTGATGAGAAATCAGTGCTATCCAATGTCGAGATCGAGACACATTCCTCAAAATAATTCATTGCCTCTTCAGCCAAATGCTTCGATACTTTCAGTCGTTCTACACTACTCTGGTACCACAACATGGAGACAAAGGTCAGTTCAAATACCAAGACAAAATGAATAGAAAGTTTACCAACAAACAGAATCAAATATACTTAAAATTTGATGCAGTTACCTTTCGTCTTGGCCTTCTTTTATGTGCCTCAGTAAAATTTGGTGTAGTTACAATACCCTTCAGCACTCTACTCAACTCTTGTTCACGTTGCTCTTCGACAGCTAAATCTGCCCGTAGCTTTCGAGCACGTTCATGTGACTGTAATCAAAGCAGTAAAAGGTTATGACTGTTGACTGCACAGAATTGGAGGCGCAGCACACTTGGCATAATAATAGTCAGACCTGTTTGAGCTTTGTTGTATACTCTGTTATATCAGGAGACAGCTCGGCACTGTCCGGATCAAAGTCAAGAGGAATTTCCATTTGTTCCCGTTGCAGTTCTATTGAATGGTGCTCTATGTCAGGAGCCAGATCAGCTCTATCTAGATCAAACTCAAAAGGAATGTGCAAAATTTCCTCCTTTTTGAATTCTGTTGTGTAATCACTTATGTCGGAGACAAACTCAGAAGAATCTGGATCAAACTCGGGAGGAATTTCAATAACCTGTTGCACTGGGACATTTGAATGATTGCTTTGCCAAATGACCTGTCGATGAAAGAATAATAGTAGCATCACGATAAGTTGAGAACATGAGTGTAAAACAATATTGGTGTTCTAAAACAGAACGGGGTATGGTGCGGAGACAATAAAATGGATAAATTATAAGCATGCACAGAACATAAATGGTCAAAGACATTCTTAGCTTAACATAGGTAATCCTTACATGCTCAAGATAATCATAAATCTCACAAGGGTACTGCTAGATTTTTTTTTTTTAAGAAGGCACTTCTAGATTCTGAATGGATATTTCCAGCCATGTGTTGGCATGTCTGGTGGTAATAAAAAAGCATAGTAGCTTACAAACTTGTTTGCTAGTAAAGTTAATATCTTGCATCAATTAATACAACTCAACAACCTATTCATGTACCACTTTGGTCACTGAACCAAAAAAGCCAGCCTATGGTCCACTAGTACAAGTGAATGATCACTTCTGACCTCTACTGAGCTCGAAACTGAATGCATACTCTCCCAAAACTGAAATTCTATTGACATATCTCTGATTTCTGCATCACTCTGTTCGAATTTAGCAAGAACAGAACTTGCGAGCAAAGGATTGGTGGAGATGGAATGCAAAGACCGAGTCTCAATTTCTCTGCGCTTCTACAGTGACAACTCCAAGTGAACTAGATTACTATGAATCTTTCTACTTACTATAACGAAAAAAAAAACAGTAGATTTTGTTCATTATCATATAGTAGAATCTAGAGAGATTGTTTTCATTCCACATGTATATGGTATGATATCAGAATTACAAAGTACTCCAATATATTTCTTTCCAGTTCCTATTGCAAAAAAAAAAATAGAGTTTTGCAAAAGTAGTGGTAAGAAAAAAGTTTGAGTTTTCTTTTTCTTGAGACTTCCCAGTCCCCCAGTCCGCTGAGAAATCAGAAACCAACCTCGTCACCCCGATAAGGTTGCAGGTCCACCGCCACCGACGGCGCCCTGGAGGCCCTCCTCCCACCGCCTCCATCACCATTCCCCCACGACGGCGACGAGTCGGCGCCCCGGCCCCGCGGCGCGAGGGACACAGAGCGCGCCCTCCCGGAGCCGCCGGCGCACGAACCATTCCGCGCCACCTCCCTCCCCCTCTCCCGTCTCGCCTCCCCGCCGCGACACCCAGCAGCCTCCGTATCCACCTGCGGCTGCGGCGGCGGCGGAGAGGCGGAGTCGTCGAAGAGAGGGTTGGTGCGGGTGTTGCCGGCGGCGTACTCCCCGATGCCGCGGGCGCGGGGCTCGACGCTGGCGCTGCGGGAGCGGCGTGGGCACGGCGGTGGGGCCTTGCGGGGACGAGCCGGCGGGCGGTCGTCGGCGGCGGGGTGGAGGGTCCGGCGGGTGGTGGATTTGAAGGCCGAGGAGGCCATGAATTCGGCGAGGTTTGGATTGCGGAGAGGAGGAATCGAAAATGGAGGAGGGAAACTGATGAAGTGAAATGGGAAAGTCAAAGCTCCCTCCAAAACAAGTTTTCTTTTCGCCTGTCCTCGTCAGGTCAGCCGTCACAGCGTGTCACACACATCACACTGCGCGAGTCACACAGTGGAAGAAGAGGAGGAGATGCTTCGGTCTGGGCTGGTTGATGCTAATCGCATGTGCTAAACACAGATTTAGTGAGGCTTCGGATGCTTCGCCCATGGGATAAACGAACGCAACATTAATTAGGCCTTGTTTCCTTCGCGGAAAGAAAAATTTATAGGTGTCACATCAGACGTTTGATTAGATGTTGAAAAGGGTTTTTAGATAATGAAAAAACTAATTTCAGAACTCGTCTAGAAACCACGAGACGAATTTATTAAGCCCCTAATTAATTCGTCATTAGCCCATATAAGTTACTATAGCACTTATAGCTAATCATGGTCTAATTATGCTCAAAAGATTTCTCTCACGATTTCCATATAAACTGTGCAATTAGTTTTTTATTTTATCTATATTTAGTGATCCATGTATATGTACAAAGATTCGATTTGACGTTTTTGAAAAAAAATGGAAACTAAACAAGGCATTAGACTCTTCACTGGAATGAATAAATTAACCTGTTTTTATACTTATATTCAAAAAGTTTGCCTTTTTTACTTTTTGGGCCTGTTCAGATTATAGCTAAAATAAATCTTATCAAGTTTTGTTAATGCTAAAATTTTAGCAAGATGGTAATATTATCAAAATTTTGGCATGATTTCTTATGTATTGACTAAATTTGACAACAAACTAAACGTAGATATTTTTTTGATAACTTTGTAAAAAAAAGATATGATTGAAAATGACATCAAAGGGAACAGGCTCTTTATTGACATATTTTTTGTAAAATGCAAAATGGAGATTGCAAAGTGCCAACGTTTTTTCAGCGTGAAGTTATGAGCAACTGCACTTATCGTGTTCTTAAAAAAAATGCACTCATCGAATCTTTCTTTAAAACAAGCATTGAAAACGGAATTCACGTTGGATGAGTTCTTAATATAAACTAGATGAAAACCCCGCCGTGTTGCTGTGGAAAATGAACTAAGTTACATAATATGCAAAGATATAATATGATTATTAAAATAAAAATAAATTAATACTTATAAATTTTAAGCCTAAAGATAATTGAGATTGCAGAGAAGAAAGAAGAGAAAATTTAAACCATATCTCTCTTCTCTTATTAATATGACTTAATAAGAGAAGAGAGAAATAACATTAACTATATTTAGTGGGGATGAACTATATACGATACGGCAGGCAGGATATCCATAGCACCATACTGCACTTGTAGCCCTGTACTTCTACTATAAAAAAAACCTATAATATAATATGACCTACCCTAAAAACAACGAATATGAACTATTCTTTTTTACGGAAGGAATAGGCTATAGCAGCTGTCGTTGAAATGTGGGATGGAACCAAGCTGTCAGCCGCTGTTACTAAAGGAAAGTACTAAAGAGAATCCCATAAAAAATTGTTATAAAAATTTAGAAGCTCAAAAAACTAAATTAAACCAAAAAAGGCAAAAGAATTCATCGTGTCACATACTCACATTCACATACAAAATAAGGTGAGCATAAAATTAAAATTAGACCAAAAATTAGAGGCAAAATATGGCACTAGAAAATTAGAAGAGCACATAGTTAAATTAGACAAGAATTTAGAAGCGCACAAAATTAAATTAGAAAAAAAATCATAAAATTAAATTAGACAAAAGAAAAGGAATTAAAAAGTACATAGTTAAATTAGACAAGAATTTAGAAGCGCATAGAATTAAATTAGAGAAAAACATAAAATTAAATTAGACAAAAGAAAAGGAATTTAAAAAAAATAAAAACTGGAGATGCGGGGGATCGAACCCCGTGCCTCTCGCATGCAAAGCGAGCGCTCTACCATTTGAGCTACATCCCCTTCGATGTTTGAAATAAAACTAAGAGTCTAATTATTTAGTAAATGTTTACTTGGGCAACAGCAAACAGTTCAGTCGTATTCGAATATTCATCAAATATTGCTGTTCTCGTTCAGAATAAAGGGAAAATTCAACATTCAACAAAAAATGTTGCTGCTTTAACGCAACACAATATTCTTGCATGTGTCGATCCAACTCATAGTCCAAGTGAAAGTGCATCTCATGTTCTAACTTCTAGGCTTAGTCATCGATCGTGTGTTTCTAGGCTCGTGGATCGTCAATATTTCTCTAGGCTGGCCGGAGTATTCTAGATTCAAATTTAAACATCAAATTTTAATTGTACAGTTGTTTTGATCTATTGTAGATGCATTTTTCATTTTTTGTGATTGTAGCCGGTGGTTTCGGAAAAAGTAACCGGTTATTGGCAGGTAACCATCATTGATCTGAACTCAAATATTTAGTTTGAAAGTTTGCCCGAGAAAGGTTTGGACAAATGATGTTCCCAAACGCCAAATACTTATTACCAGAGGGAAAGTATACAGATGTGGCATGCCATCACAGGAAGTAGCGGCTCATCCATGTAACCAAAATTTAAGAAACTCGGGACTGTTTTATAACCAACAAAGTCAAATCTTGATCACACCTAAATGCAATGAAGTGTGAGGTTGGGCCTACACATGTGTCCGTGCTGGACCTCAAGCCCAGCAAGCAACACCACGGCCCAAACAAGTCGCTGACACCTCACGCCGTGGAGTGGATCTACTCAATCTGGACCACACAAGCCTGATCCGACGGTGCCCCAGAGACCCAAGGGGGCTCGGAGTCGAAAACTCCGAACCCCCTTGGTGAGCTTCCGGTTTTGAGGCGCAGCGAATTAGCTTATCTCTGGCTGAATATCATCAAAATTTGTATATTTCGCAAGACTAAAGCATCTTTGTTTCTAGACATGAAAACGCAAACACCAATGTATGCATTAGTTACAGGAATCATGTAAAAGAAGCATATTTGTTTGATATTTATTCCCTGAACCTTCCTAAATGATAGGTGTTTCATCATATTCCACTTGTACAAGATTGGCCTGTTTCTAACCACATGCATGATCTGTGAGACTGTATGAACTTACTGTCGGTTGCTTTTCTGCATATAAATTCAGTACGTCTCCTGCCGAATGTCTAGCGTTTTTGCTTCTAGCTTGTCAAGACTCTGATGACATATATTGTTCTTGTCAGTCTTCAGCTTGTCTCAAAAACGATTCTTGCCACAAAATGTGTATCCATGGTGCAAATTGTGTAGGTAATTTTAAAGCTCCTTGCAGACCTTTAGAACATTCCAATTTTAAGTTCAGAGACCGCAGATGGTCCTATTCATTTTAGAAGGCCCTTTTGCAGTCATACAATGAGCATGTGACACAATTAGAAATGTAGACAAGTTGATTTCCACTCTTCTAATGTCCCATGTTCCATATGCCATCTACTATGGAAGTCCAAGAATGTTAGAATGATTGACAGGAGCTAGAACCAACTTGGAAGTTAAGCCTGACGAATGGCTGATCAAATCTGTGGACTTATGTGGATTGAAGAGAGGAGTTGGTGGTGGCTGAACTTTGCTAGTCAAAAAACGAAAAAACAAAAAAGATAGTATCGCTCATTACATTTGAATTTGGTATATTTAATCATATTTAAAACATTGACAATAGTTGCTACCTCATTGTCAAAGTTCGCGGTACACAGTTGCCTGTGGGAAAATGTGAAACTATGAAAACTGCAATGACATAATAATAATAGTCATGTACTCAAGCTGTCTTCAGATTCAGGTATTTGGTATGCATTGATGTTCCTGTAATATGAAGAAATGCGTTATCCATGTGATTCCATATTTCCATCTACAATTACGGTCAAGTAGAAGTGGCCATGAACTTCGCAATGATTGAAGGGCTCAGCATTTCACTTGGCAATTAGTTTATGGTCAAACATGTTTACTTAGGAGACAGATGGTCCATGGCCAGCCTCTTCCATGTGGACAGGCATTTTTATGTAGTACTGGATGCATCATGGTATTTCCACTTGGTATGATTAACCAGGGCATCCCATTAGTAAGAATTATTCTTAACATAGTATTCAACATTGTTTCAGTTTTGCAAATATAGACCTACAATTCGAATGTTTCAGACAAAAATGTAGGTTCATTACTGAATTGGATAATTTTCTTCTGAAATAAGCATTGAACTGAATATATATACTGTCCAAAATCAAAATTAAGAGAGGAAGGAAGGAATGAATTCTGAATTTCTGATGTTATTGTTAGGCTTGCCCGGGTCTAAAAACTTGATTCTGAAACCGTGGACAGTGCTATCTGTGTACGATATGTTTGCGGCCGATCAGCCGTACTCTGCACGATGAGCTGCTACCCGATCTGAATCTGAAGCATACAACATTATTGAGATTCTTTTATATCCTGAGTGTACTCTTGAAAGAAAAACGAATGTCTGATCTGATCACATGACCGAACGTGTTGTATTTAGTTGTTCGTATACTGCCGGCCTGACGGCAAGAGATGCTATTAGTCAAATAGAAGCATCTTTCACATGGTCGGCACTCACGCATATATCCCTAGAAAGAATTATGGATCATATGCTTAATGTGAAGCACTTTTATGGACTAGATTATCTGAGAATCTCAAGGAAAAGGAGTTTTTTCAGTCAAAGAGAAACAGCACTACTATTTGAGGTCTGCAAAACAAAAGTGAGGTCTCAGGGTGGCATGTTCCAGACCCACTTGATGCATGACTCCTTTCTTCTTAACAAAATATTCCACAGAAGCTAAAATTTACAGGGAAATGTGTGGCATGTTCTCTGCATGTTCCCAAGTAGTGGAAGCAGCGCGCCTGCACATTGCATCTGCATGTTACTGCTACTGCAATCAAGCTAGTCTGTATCTGTAACACAAGTTAAAAGAACAATATATATAAGCCAGCATTGCTCCCCCTTGATGCTCAACTGCCATACACGCACACAGTACTGCAACTACCACCACATCACGGCTGATCAAGAAAGCATCATCACCATGAAGAAGAAGGCTTTGCACCGCGTGT